TGATTTTAAGCTGCCGGGTCCAGGACTTGAACAACAGTGTCGGCCGGGTGGGATCTAGCTGCCTTAATCTCCACACTTCCTGCGGCCCACCTGGCCCAGTTGTTTTTTTTTTTTAAGAGATTTTTGCTATAGGGCACATGCCTTTGCCAGAGACAGAGAGACAAAAAGTGAAAAATCAGTCCCTGGTGGAACAGCCACGCCACAATCCCTTCTCCTCCATTCTCCTCCTGGGATCTTGGGCACATATGGACACGTGCCCGGTGTGAGTTTCAAGCTGCTGGGTCTGGGACTCGAGCTGCAGTCAGTCATGTAGCAGTAAAGCAACGTAACCACTACATAGTGTGCTGGTCCAAGCTGGCCCAGCTCTCCCAGTGGGATCTGGTCATACCACAGTCCTCTAGTTCTCTATCCCGTCAGGAACCTGGGCACGGATATGTGAGCCTAGTGTGTTTTTCAAGCTAGTGGGGCCGGGACTTGAATCCTGACCAGCCATGTGGGCTCTGGCTTCCCCTGTGCAGCACTTCACTGCTCACTGCAGGACCTGCCATCCAATTATGCCTAGTCCTCACAGCAACCCTAAAAAGATAGATTTTGTTTCCTCCATATTATAAGTAAGGAAACTGAGGCTTAGTAAGTTTTAGTAATTTTCCCAAGGTTACATAGTAAGTGGCGGAGCTGAGATTTGAACATAAGCCTGCTTTAGTGTACAGGCAGTCAGCTATTAATCTGTGTACCCGAGACTCCTGCCACAGACTGACCTTCCTTCTTCTAGCCTGTAGGAGACTTCAGAAAGTTCGTGGCGGGCCAGGCTCATGACTTAGTGGTTAAAGGAGCTAGATCTTTCATGGCTAATTGTATAATTTGAGACTCAGCCCCAGTGGTGTGTGCGTGCGTGTGTGGTGTGTGTGCGCACGCGTGCGCGTGCATACCCCGGATCCCAGCAGGATGGAGAAATGGAGACAGGATTGTGGCATGACCGTGTCTCCCTGGTGTGTGCTTTCTTCCTCTCTTCCCTCTTTTTTTTCTCTCTGGCAAATACTCACATGCACGTACCCTCTGGCAATTAAAGTTCATGGAAAAGTGGAATTAAAGTATACGTTTATTATGGTGCAAAAAATGTTTGAAATCCGTGCATAATTTCTTCATAATGCACGTCTTCTGTGAACTTTTTAAAGACTCCGTATATGTCCAGCTGCCTACTCTTCACTTCTTTCTGGAAGTCCTGGCAGCATCTCAAACCCAGCTCATTTCCCCACCCCACGCAGGCCCAGATTGGTAGCACACCATCCTGTAGTCCTCACCCCATAATCTTGGGTGTTGACCTGCCTCTCCTCCAGGCCTTCCACTCCTTAGCACTCAGCTGTCATTGTAGCCAGTCCCTTCTCCCTTCTCCATTTCTCTAGAACTCATCTCATGGTTTCCACTGTTACTGCTCTTGTTCAGGACTTCTGTCTCTTTGTTAAACTCTTGTTTCTCTTCTCTTAATCTCTACCCCTTCTACTCTCTTACCCTTCCAGTCCTTCTTCCACGAGGCTGCCAGAAAGATCTCCTAAACCCCAACCCTGCTTGTGTTGCTGTCTTGTGTTGATGGTTGATGGCTCTTTGTCCTGTTCTACTTCATAGTTTAACAAGGTCTTCCCGTATTGTTCTAGACCTTTCTCTCCCTGTCTCTCACCGTCTGCATGTGTGTGTTCATCTCAAACACTTTGTTCCATGCACTTGCTGTGCTGTTTCCCTTTCTGGAATGCCCTTCTCTTCCTGGTTTGGCTGAAGAATGCTCATCCTAAAAACAGACAAACAAGTAAAAAAAAACCCTCGATTTAGAGAGAGTACTTCTCAGATTCTAGGTTTTCACTGCTTTCTATCTCTTCTTCTCCCTCCAGGGTTTTTGCCATAGGGTGCATGCACTTGCCAGAGAGAGACGGGGATGGGGGGGGAGTGAGATATCACCCCCCACGGGATGGCCACATCACAATTTCTTCTCTTGAAATTTTGGCCACTCATACACATGCACCCAGCATGATTCTCAAGCCACTGGGTCCAGGACTCGAACCGCACTTGGCCTTGTGGAAATCCAACATCTTAAGCACCATGCCACCTCCTGGCCCCTTTCTACTCCTTTGGAGAGGGTTTAGATGTTCCTTTCTCGTGTTCCCACGGCACCATGCACATGTCTGTTGTATTAGAGATATGGACTGAGAGTTTGGAGAAAGGTTAGCATTATAGGTTTATGCACATGAAAATGTTGGTTAAAGCTAAATACTAGCATTTGATATATGTAGCATAAAATAATTCACAAAATATTTTCACAGATTTTAAAATTTTTTCCAGAGAGTTGGGACCAGCAGATGGTGTAATGGTTACGCTGCTGAACTCCCATGTAGTCAGCTGTGGTTCAAGTCCTGGACCCAGTGGCTTAAACTCACACTGGGTGCATGTGTATGTGTGTCTAAAATCCCAAGAGGAGAATAGAGGAGAAGGGACTGTGACAGAGCCATCCCCCTGGGGGGTGATTTCTTGCTTTCTGTCTCTCTATCTCTCCAGCAAGCACATGTGTCCTATAGCCAAAAAAAAAAAAAATCAAAAGAGCATATGCACTTGTTAGAGACAGAGAGAGAGAGAATAAGAAAGCAACCCCCAACCCTGGCCCCATGGGAAGCGCTCACTCTGCAATCCCTTCTCGTCCATTTCTTCCTCCTTTCAGAATTTTGGGCATGCACCTGCACACACCTCATGTGTTTTTCAAGTCACCAGGTCTGGGGCTTGAACCAGTGCAGTCAGCCATGTGCTGTGCAGCTGCCTTCACTACCACACCATGGACTGGTCCCACAATTTTTTTTTTCCTTAGATTTTTGCCATAGGGTTCATGCGCTTGCCAGGGAGAGGCAGAAGAGTCAGAGAGAGAGGGAAAGTGAGAAACCATCCCAGGGGGATCGCCATGCCGCAGACCCTTTACCTCTTGGGATTTGGGGTGCACACACACACACATGCCTGATGTGCTTTTTAAGCTGCAGGACCCAGCACTTGAACCACAGAGACGACCATATAGATCCACCACCTTAACCACCACACCACCTGCTGGCCCTGACCAATTAAAAAAGAATTCCAGCAGGTGTGCTCTAGCCAGAGAGAGTGTGTTCTGCAGTGGAGCCTGGTCATGCCACATTCCCCCTGCTCGGGGGCTCTGTCCTGTCAGGGATTTGGGCACACCGGTACATGCACCCAGCTTGCTTTTCATCAAATCCTGGCCAACCCCAAGGTTGGCCATGTGGGATGTGACTCCTTTAAGTACCAGGCCACAGAGCCGGCCCTCACAAATATTTTATCTTATTTTGTTCCACCCACAAGGCTGTGAGACAGGCAGGGCAGGCATTAATATTTGTATATTCAAAATAACCTGAAGCTTAGAGGTGAAATAAAATGCTCCAGGTCTTACACATGAATGTAATTCACCTGAGAATTATGGTGAGCACACACACATGTATAACCTCACCCTCAACAAGCTTTTTTCTTTTCCTTAATGAATTTTTAAGTTAATTTTTAAAAGTAAATACCAATGGTTCTTTTTAAAAAGAATTATTTTATTTAACTTTATTTATTATTATTATTATTTTCTAGTTTGATCAGACAGAGAGAGTAAGAGGGAAAGTGAGAAAGCAAGCCACCAGGTCCAGTACTTGCAGTCAGCCATGTGGGAGTCCAGCACCTTTAACCACCATGACCCCTGCTGGCCCCAGTTTATTTAAGTTTTTGTAGTATGGCGTGTGTGGTTGCCAGGGGGTATTGGGAAGACAGAGAGAAACAGAGACAGTGAGAGAGAAAGTAAGAAATCACTCCCCGGGTGTTGGGGGGGTGGCCAGATTGCAATCCCTGCTCCTCCATTCTCTTCCTGGAATCTTGGGCGTGCATGCACACATGCCTACTTTGAGTTTCAAGCTGCCAGATCCAGGGCTCGAACTGCAGTAGGCCATGTGGGAGCCCAGCAATGTATCTGCTGGCCCCTCTTTTACTTTTTCTTTCTTTCTTTCTTTTTTTTTTTTAATATTTGTTTTGTTTTTGTTTTTTGGGGGTTTGTTTTAATGCCAGAGGGCACAGAGCATGCAGGAGAAAGAGAAAACACCCGCCTCAACAGAGGTGGTCATCCCACAGCTGTTTTCCTCCAGTTCTCTGTCAGGGTACTCGGCTCACGCGTGCTTGCTTGGCATGTTTTTCACGTTGGCAGGGCCAGAACTTGAACCTTGGTCAGCCTCTAAGGTTGCATACAGGGCTGAACCTAAACTACCCTTTCAAAAAATTTGGTGGTGACAGAGAGGCTGGTAGTTAGAAATGTCATACCAGCAAATAGTCTGTGAAATTCATACTTTGTAGACAGAAATAAGTAGCGGAAATTCTCTAGGGAAAATCTGTTTGATGATTAAGTGTATTCATTTCAGGGTGTTTTAGATTCAGTTTGATAGCGGTCAGTTCCAATCAGCATATGTACCAGAAGGCAATGTGTTTAATCAGGCCTTCAAACAAAGTTAAGATTTCACTTGAGGGCCCACAGGTGGTGTGGTAGTTAAGGCACTGGACTCCCACATGGCCAACCATGGTTCGAGTCTCGGATCTAGTGGCTTGCTTTCTCACTTTCGCTTTCTCTGTGTCTATCTCTGGTCAAAATAACAATAATAATAATAATAATAAATCAAAAAATAATATCTTACTTGAACTGTGTGTGTCTACCTCGAGGGGACAGATGTGTGTTAGCGTCTGAATACATCCCATACTCACTCAGATATTCACCTTCATACAGGCCTTTTTCTTCCCTGTTACTCCGTGATCTGATCAACAGGGAGGTTTCCCCACCATTGTTAGCAGTGTTTTCTGTGTTTATGATGAAAACCTATCTGTGTCACCATATCTCCTGGAGCCCAGTGGGCACTCAGCTCCTGGTGGCGGGTTGGAAGTTAAGCCCTGGGCAGTCCTTTTGTCCTCCTGATGAGGTATCTTCTGTCTGCCAGGTAAAGCGGTACCAGTGCACCTTCGAGGGCTGTCCCCGCACCTACAGCACAGCAGGCAACTTGCGCACCCACCAGAAGACCCACCGAGGAGAGTACACCTTCGTCTGTAACCAGGAGGGCTGCGGGAAGGCCTTCCTCACCTCTTACAGCCTCAGGATCCACGTGCGAGTGCACACGAAGGAGAAGCCGTTTGAATGTGACGTGCAGGGCTGTGAGAAGGCGTTCAACACACTGTACAGGTCAGCGGCCCCTTCTCCACTGTTCGCTAGCCTCAGACCCTGCTCTTGTCGGACTGCAGAGCTCTCGCTCACTCTTTGCACGGGAGAAATATTTGCTCAACGAACACAACTATGCTCAGCTATCTAAAAGTCAAGGAGCTTATTATTTACAGATGGACGAATCGCAGACTGTTTAGAAATGATAGTACCTCTGGGACCAACAGACGGTGTATTGGGTATGTCGCTGGACTCCCACGGAGTCGATCACAGTTTGAGTCCCGGACCAGGAGGCTTAACACACACTGGGCACATACGTGTGTGTATGCCCAAATCCTGAGAGGAGAACGGAGGAGAAGGGATTGCGACGTGGCCATCCCCCTGGATGGTGATTTCTCGCTTTCTGTCTCTCTCTGTCTCTCCAGTGAGCTCACACGCCTTACAGCAAAAATCTCTGTTAAAAAAACAAAAACAAAACAGAAATGATGGGACTTTTGTGTTTAGATCTGCATCTCAGTGGAGTGACTTTCTGACCTAGGAATGTCAACATTTGACCACAGAGTAATAGCTCCCCTTGGCTCTGGATCTTTGTGCTAAGGCTTCTGTAATTTTCTTTCCCACCTCACCTTGATAACTTTTTCCACCCTGAGATAGGGGAGCTGGCCCAATCAGTAGCCACTTCTCTTATTTACATTTATATCAGGAGACTTATATGAAGAGGTCTTCAGAAAGTTCACAGAAAACGTATACTATGAAAAACTATGCATGGATTTCAAACTTTTTTACACCAAAATAAACTCATATTTTTAAAAAATAATATTTATTATTTAATTTTATTTATTCATTTGTTTTATTTTAATTTGACCAGAGAGAGAGACACACACACACAGAGTAGGAAAGTGAGAACGCAAGCCATCATGTCTGGGACTCGAACCATGGTCAGCCATGTGGGAGTGTCCAGCGCCTTAGCCACCATGCCACCTGCTGGTCCCCAAACTCATTTTTTTATCCTTTTCTTTTTTTCTTCAATTGCCAGAGGGTGCATGTGCTTGCCAGAGACAGAGTGTACAAGCGCACAGCCCTGTGAGATATGGTCTCGCTGTAGACATTTCTTCTCTATTTCTCCATCCTGTCAAGATTCAAGTGCACAGGGCCGGCAGGTGGCTTGGTGGTTGGGGGCGCTGGACTCCCACATGGCCAACCGTGGTTTGAATCCTGGACCTGGCAGCTTGCTTTCTCACTTTCCCTGTCTCTCTTTCTCTCACTCTGCCCCTCTGTGGTCGAATTAAAATAATTAAAGTTAGGGACCAGCAGTTGGCATAATGGCTGGTTTGCTGGGCTGCTATGTAGTCAACCACACGTCGAGTCCTGGACCTGGTGGCTTAAACTCATGCTGGGCATGTATGCATGCATGCCCAAAATCCCAAGAGGAGAATGGAGGAGAAGGAATTGCAGGTGTGGCCATCCCCCTTGGGGGAGTGATTTCTCGCTTTCTGTCTCTCTGTTTTGCTGGCAAGCACATGCACCCTAAAGCAAAAACCTCTCCAAAATAAATAAATAAAGCTAAATAAAATAATTCTTTTAAAAAATTATTAAAAAAAAAAAGATTCAAGTACATGTGCATGTATGCCTGGTGTGTTTTTCAAGTTTCTGGGGCCAGGATTTGGACCTCAGTCAGCTGTGTAGGATCCAGCTTCATGTGCCCAGAGTGTACATACTGTGCTGGGTGCCAGCCCTAAACTGGTTCTTTTTTTTTTTTTTTTTTAAGAATTATTTTTTTTAATTGCATTTGTTGTTGTTGTTATTTAATTTGACCAGAGTGAGAGAGAAAGGGAGAGGGAGAAAGCAAGCCGCCAGGTCCAGGACTCAAACCACAGTTGGCTATGTGAGAATTCAGTACCTTTAACCACCATGCCACCTACTGGTCCCCCTAAGTTGGTTCTTAAACGCCACTTTTCCATGAACTTGTTGAAGTCTTCTCATACTGTTCTTCAATATTGGGTGTAAAATAAGAGAAATAATAGCTAACAGGTAAAAACACTCACCTTGTGCTAGACGGGACTCTAAGTGCCAATCCTCATAACAACTGATAAGTACCTGGGAGCCCCAAGAGGTTCTGTTAACGGCGCAAGGTCCCCCATTCCCTAGATTGCAGGGCAGGATTTGAACCCCAGGCTGTCGTCTCTAGAGTCACACTCATACCTCAGAGCTGTTTACTTCTCTGAACTTCTCTTTGGGCAGAACGTTTTGGAGACGGATGTGCTGTGGATAGTTTACAAGACGGTTAGGCACATTAAGCTGGCCTGGGGAGGCTCCGCGGTATGTAGTGATGAGGTGAATTTCTCTGGGTGTTTCGCAGGCTGAAAGCACATCAGAGGCTTCACACAGGGAAGACATTTAACTGTGAATCTGAAGGCTGCAGCAAATACTTCACCACACTCAGTGATCTGAGGAAGCACATTCGAACCCACACAGGAGAAAAGCCATTTCGGTAGGTCTTACTGTTTTCTATTTATTGTTGACCAGGTATGTCAGCTGGGTGTCTTAATATACTCGAGAAATTTTCAAATAGGAAGACTCCCATCACCAGTTCTTTCCTTGGCGGTGCTACCTCATCCAGGGTAGCTGTTGCCAACTGCCGCAGGTTAACAGCGTGCCCATGGGTGCCAGGAGCGTGCTTGCTCAGTGGCTGCTGGCCTTTCTGCCTCATTTTTCCCCTTTATTTTCCAGAAGCATATGTTGAAACTCACATGGTGTAGGTACTTTTATTAGTGCTAAAGGAATACCAAGAAGCAGGCTGTCTTCTCAGAAACCTTAGTCTGGTGGGCAAGAACAGTAAGTTAGTAGATAGATAGTATCACATGCCCAACTGCCCTGACTGCAGAAGGGAGGGATTCCTGCCCAAGAATCCAGGTGGCGAGGGTGGGAGGAGAGAAGCAGGGAGATGAGGGGTGGGCATGCTCAGGTTGGGTGTTTTGTTGTTTGTTCAGTCAGCTATTTGTAGTAGCTTGTGTATACAGACACATAGAATCACCCATTTATTCATCTCTTTCTCTCTTTCTCTCTCTCTCTCTCTATATATATATACACACACACACGTGCACACACACACACACACATATATATTTTTTGAATAAAAACATATGTAAGCTAAGGAGGGACTTACACCATTCGGCTTTCCTCTCTGCTACAGCATAGCATGGTTCTGGACATTGACCCAGTGTTCAAAACAGCTTTGGAATGATTATATGATATCGTTTATGAGATTGTCATTTTCCTCAAAATAATATATTGTTAAAAATTTCTGTGACAATGTTTTTGAATTTTGGCAGGAGGTAACACTGTTACATTTGTGACGTTAAATAAGTTCTTGTCCCTTTTTAAATTATTTATCTCCTCATCAAGATGCTTAGAATAATTCAAGGCTTAGGACAGTCAGCTTTGAGACACTGGTGAAGTGGAGTCGTGTTTCTCAATTGCAGATGCATTCCTGGTTCCTTTTTTTTTTTTTTTTTTTGAGGGTTTTTGTTATAGGGTACATGCGCTTGCTGGGGAGACAGAGACAGGAAGCTAGAAATCACTCCCCACGAGGGATGACCTCGCCACAATCCCTCCTCCTCTGTTTTCCTCTCGGGATTTTGGGCACGCGTGGACATGCACCCGGTGTGAGTTTTAAGCTGCTGGATCCAATACCCCAACCGTGATCAGCTAACCATTACACCATCTGCTGGCCCCACCTTCCTGATTCTTGTTGGTTATTCTGCAAGACGAAACTAAGAGTATTTTTGCTCCCATAGGCTGTTGAGGGGACTCTGATTTCTCTCCAGTCATATGCGTTTAATTTTGTAATGATGAAAGCTGCTAGTTTTTCTTGAATATTAACTGGAACTTTAGACATAATGATGATTATATGTAACTAAAAATGGAAATTGTTTCTATTTAAAGAAATAAAATATTTTGGTTCATCAGAAAATACATTCCGTCATGTAAGTTCATGGCTACTCTGTGCATGGACCACTGTAGACGTGAGAGCTACACAGATCCAGCCCTATGTCCTCACGGGCCAGGAGAACAGAGGCCACCGTCTGCATAGAGAGGTGGAATGATACTGGAGATGAGAGGTGCCCTGAGAGAAGCTTGTTGGTAAATGCTTGAAGAGGGAAAAATTACATTTAGCTTTGGTTATCAGAGTAAAAGAAAAAGAAGTAGGGACCAGCAGTTAGCATAATGGCTATGTCGCTGGACTCCCATGTAGTCGACCGCGGTCTGGGTCCTGGACCTGGCGGCTTACACTCACGCTGGCGCATGTGCATGCCCAAGATCCCGAGAGGAGAATGGAGAAGGGATTGTGGTATGGCCATTCCCCCTGGGGGGTGATATCTCACTTTCTGTCTTTCTCTGTCTTTCTGGCGAGTATACACGCCCTATAGCAAAAACCTCTCCATTTAAAAAAGAAAAGAAAAGAAAAAAAAAGTAGATCTCAACGCTAGAGTCTAGATAAATCATTACAGCCTGTCTATTCTGACTGATTTTGTTCTGTTCTGTTGGAAGCCCCACGAGTCTGCGGGAGCCTCTTGACCCACTCTTGATATTCCTAGAATTCCACCAGCAGTAGGTTTTCCAGACGGGCTCTCGCTGTCAGAAGAGTTTGGTTGAGTCATTTGTCACAAGGCTTTTATTGACAGGGCTCTCCACAGGTGCCCTACCTATAGGACAAGAAGTACCATCCTGAGCTCTTGGCTCCCTCATCCCACATGTGCCACCTCACACTTCCAAGGACCCCTTATCATTCTCTTTCTTACCTACAAAACCAGTGTCGTTGATCTGATAGTGTTTTCGACATTTGTTTCAGTTTGTACAAGAGCTGTTGAAGGTAAAGATCTATTTTCTAATGATGCGTGTGTCTCTTTGCCTAAATGACTTGTTTAGGTGTGATCACGACGGCTGTGGAAAAGCATTTGCAGCAAGCCATCACCTTAAAACTCATGTCCGCACACATACTGGTGAGTTTGGACTCGTTTTTATTGATTTTCTTTTTTATCCTTCATCAAGCCTCTAACCACACTTGTGTTCATTGAGAACTATAGGGCTTTGGGCAGAGGGTGAGCTAGATCAGTTTAACCTTCAGAAACTCATGTCTGAGTTTCTTTCAGAGGTGAAATGAGCTAAAGATTGGACTCAGGAATCTAACCTTAAGAAATGAAGCTAAGGGGCCAGCAGGTGGTGTAGTGGTTAAGGTGCTGGACTCCCATGTGGCCAACAGCAGTTTGAGCCCCAGACCTGGACACTTGAAACTCATGCCAGGCATGTGTGCATATGTACTCAAAATGCCAGAAGGAGAATGGCAGAGAAGGAGTTGTGCTTTCTCTCTCCCTGTCTCTGTCTCTCCAGTGAGCACATGTACCCTATAGCAAAAATCTGTCTCTTAAGAAAAAGAAAAAAAAAAAAGGGAAGAAAGAAACTAAGCCAAGCTGGTGCAGAGCGTACATCTGTAATCCCAGCTACTCTGGAGGGCAAGGAAGGAGAATTGCAAGTTTGAGTTCAGCTTGGGCCACATAGCAAAACCATGTCTCTCGAAGAAGAAAAGAAAGAAAGCCAGTATAGAGATACTCACAAAAGAGAACCTCTAAAAACACGGATTTTTCTTTAAGCTTCCTAGGAGCCGGCCCTCTCCAGTGCTTTGCTGAGCATTAAGTTTCAGGACTGAGATGATTAACATGCAGTTTAACAACCGTTACCCAAACCCTCATAAGAATATTTCCTTTTCTCTTTCTTTTTCTTATTTTTTTTCCTTCTTTTTGAGAGGGTTTTGCTATAGGGCATGTGCTCGCCAGAAAGAGAGAGACAGAGAGACAGAAAGCGAGAAAGCACCCTCCAGTGGGGGATGGCCACGCCACATTCCCTTCTCCTCCTGGGATCTTGGGCACGCACGTACCCGTGCCCAGCATGAGTTTAAGCCACTGGGTCTGGGACTCGAACCGCGGTCAACCACATGGGAGTCCAGCGACATAGCCATTACGCTAACTGCTGGTCCCTCCTTTTCTCTTTTAAGGAAAGATTTCTTAATTGCACCAAATGACTTTATGGTAAAATTAACACTACTTTTGTCATTCTTGCAGGTGAAAGACCCTTCTTTTGCCCCAGTAATGGCTGTGAGAAAACATTCAGCACTCAGTACAGTCTCAAAAGCCACATGAAAGGCCACGATAACAAAGGACACGCGTACAGTGCACTTCCACCACACAACGGATCCGAGGTGTGCGCCGTGTTTGTCTCTGGCTTTGAACCGGGCCCCACAGAGCGACAACAGGGGTTTGTGTATAGCAGTGAAAGGTTTAGGTGCTTTCTTGAAGCGTGGCTGTCTGAATTCAAATCCAAGCCCCATCACTAATTGGAGGGCTTTAGACTAACCATATCTTCATGCCTACTATATTCACCCTTAAACCCAGAAAACAGTATTTAAAATGTGAGAATCTTTGCTAAGCTGCATTGAAGTCATGGCCAGTTTCTCGCTCTGTAGCAGTCCAAGGGGACAGTAATGCCAGCACCCTCTGAGGCTGGAGTGCCCTGGCGTGTAGTCCGGGGACTGCCTCCCTGGAGCTCTGTCCACTCCCCCGGGCAGGATCTGCTCTGGGCCTGGGCTTTCCAGGCCACCCGTGTTGCCTTCGAGTCCTACTTTGATGTCTCCGGGCCTGGGTCTCTCCCTGAACTCCAGACTCACATGTTCAGCACCTACTCCCCACCTCCACCTGTCGTCTCCCCAGACGTGACACGTCCACACATGTTCTGCCGGGTCTTCCCATCTTAGTAAATGGCACACGCCCAAACTCCTTTTCTGTTCTCGTAGCCCATTTACCAGCAAAGTTTGTGAGCTCTACCTTGAGCATACATCGGAACTCGATTATTTCTTTCACTTACCGTGCTCAGGCAGTCTGCTGTCATGCACTTGCCTGGACTATTGCAGTAGCTGGTTAAGTGAGCTCCTAGCACCTTCTACTCCCTTCCCTCCTCCCACCCATTTTCCCTTTGTCTCACAAACTGTTCTACACGCTTCAGCCAGCGTGACCTTTAGGAACCACAGTACAGATAATTTCTTTTTTTCCTTTTTCTTTTTTCTTGTTTTTTTGGAGAGGTTTTTGCTATAGGACACGTGCGCTCTCCAGAAAGACACAGAGAGAGAAAGCGAGAAGTCACGCCAAAGAAGGGATGGCCATGCCACAATCCCTTTTCCTCCATTCTCTTCTCGGGATCTTGGGCACGCACGCACACACGCCTGGCGTTGAGTTTAAGCCACCAGATCTGGGACTCAAACTGCAGTCAACTACATGGGAGTCCAGCGACATAGCCATTATGCCAACTGCTGGTCCCCAGTGTGCATAATTTCTGTCCTTTGCTCATGGCCCTCCAGCTTCTCGTATCACTTAAAGTAAAAGTCCTCATCTTTACAGTGATGAGGACATTTGCACACTCTGGCCTGTCGCTCCTCTGACCTCGTCCACTTCTCCTCCTCGCCCTTCAGCCATGTTCCCTCTCTGGCTCCATGAACCTGGGAAAGCTCACCCCAGGTCTGCGTACTTGCTCCGCCCCGTGCTTGGGACTCTGCCTGACTACGTGCCTGAGCTTGCTGTCCTTGAGTCTCTGCTCAGATGCCCTCCACAGCACGTGCACCATCCTGTATACTTGGGTTTCCTGTCCTCTCACAGTCCCCTAGGATGTAAGCTGTAGGGCGGCAGGAGCTTTGCTTTCATTGTATCCCTGGAGCCAGACAGGGCTTAACACGAAGTAGGTGTGCAGTCCTGTTTGTAGGAGGCAATCATGAGGGTGCGCCAGATCCAGGCGAGGTCAGGGTCTCCAGCTGAAGGGTCATTTGCACTGGCATTCCAGGAGGCCCGAGGTCAGAGTTAGCCCGGGCAGTGAGATTCGAATAGTGAACCCTCAGGACTGCTCAGAGTAAGGATGCCTCAGTGTCCACGTTGGGGTCACAGTGGTATATCGGAAGGAAGGGGCGTTGACGTTCAGTCAGAGGCACCAGATTCATCTTCAGCTAATTAGGTACGTGTCTGGGGCACTTCATTCCCTCTGTCTTAGCATCAGTTTCCTCGTGTGAAAATGGGATTATGGAATAAGGCTTCAGGCTTTACATGAATAGCAAAAGGGGTCGTGTGTAAGCACTTGTAGACAATGAGTCCAATTACATTATTACAGCTTTTGTTACTCTGGAGCCTGAGTCACGAGATAATTTTGAAACTCTTGATTAATCACCTTTCAGAAAAATAATAGGGCCAGCCCCAGAGCCTGATGGTTAAGAAAGTCAGCTCCCACGTGACTGCATCCAGTTTGAATCCTAACCCTGCTGGCTTGCAAACATGCTGGGCCTTTGTGGGTGCAGGCCTCAAATCCCAACAGGATAGGGAAGTGGAGGGTCGGGGTTGTGGTGTGGTCGCATCCCATCGAGGGCTGCTTTCTCCCTCTGTGTGTGTCTCTGATGAGCACACATATCCTCTAGCAATAAGGAAGGAAGCAAGGGAGGATTTTTATTATTTTTTTAAATTGTGTGTCTCCCTAGTTAGCACACATGCCGCTAGCAATTAAGAAGGAAGGAAGGAAGGGAAAGAAAGAGAAGTATAAGTGACTCTTCTAAGAATATCAGAATTTATTTTTTTAATTTTGCCAGAGGGCATGCATGCCAGAGAGAGAGAAAGCAGCCCCAATGGGGAACGGTCACACTGTAGTCCCGTCTCCATCTCTCCCTCCTTTGGGAATTTCAGGCTTGCGCATGTACCCACACACATGCCCAGCATGTCTCTCGAGCCACCCAGTCTAGGATTTGAACTGTGCAGTCAGCCACGTGGGATCCAGCTCCCTAACGACCATGCCACAGGCTGGCCCCAGGGTCTATTTTTAATGAAGTAATTCACTGGGCCTTTGCTTCAGATGTTTTGTATCTCTCTAGGTCACACATTTGGAACCTCAGGGACTTTGTAATCAAGTGTTTTATTACATTATAATGCTACTGTAAATTCTGATTTTTGTTACTCAATTAGAATTGTATTCTCTTCACAGGATGCACATCACTCACTTCGTCTGGGTGACTTGAGCCTTCTGTCCACAGATTCTGATTTGCGAGAAAATTTCAATATGGTAAGTGTACCCATGAAGTGGGTGCTAGGGAAACGTCTACAAGAATCAAGCATTCCTTGTGGTGGGAAAGTTGAGAAAAGCCAGTTTTTGAGGTCTCCTAGATTTAATTTTGTTTAATTACTGACCATTTTAGGGTCTTTTTTTCTTTCTCCTGATAAGAGCTATATTAGGAGAAATTGTTCTAACTATTAGTGGTTTATTAAAAATGTATTTAATTTTATTTATTATTATTCATTTTCTATAGAGCACATGTGCTCACCAGAGAGAGAGTGAAAAAGCAAGCTGCCAGGTCATGGACTCAAATTGCAGTTGGCCATGTGGGAGTCCAGTGCATTAACCATCATACCACTGGTTAGATCCCTTAATGACTTTTTTTTTTTTTTAAGAATTACTGTATTTATTTATTTATTTATTTATTTTTTAATTTGACGAGAGGGAGAGAAGTGAGAGAGAAAGTGAGAAAGCAAGCTGCCAGGTCTGGGACTTGAACCGTGGTCAGTCAGTGGGAGTCCAGCACCCTTAACCACCACGCCACCTACCAGCCCCTTCCTTAATGATTTTCATCTCATTTACTTGATAACCTTATAGCACCAGAAAAATGATTTCTTTTATTCATTTAGCAAATACATATTGAATGACCACTTCAGCAGGCATGTTTCTAGCGCTCAGCTGGTAGTGATGAAAAAAACAGGTTTGGGGGTCCAGCAATTGATGTAATGGCTGTGTTGCTGGACTCCCATGTAGTCGACCGTGGTTCGAGTCCTGGACCCAGTGGCTTAAACTCATGCTGGACACGTGTGCATGCATGCCTAAGATCCCGAGAGGAGAAAGGAGGAGAAAGGATTGTGGTGTGGCCATCTCCCCTGGGAGGTGATTTCTTGCTTTCGGTCTCTCTGTGTCTCTCTTTCTGGCAAGCACACACGCCCTATAGCAAAAACCTCTTGGAAAAAAAAAAGGTTTGGTCTGCCCTCAAGGAGCTTAAAGTCAAGTCCATAAAATGTACCCAGAACTCAAGTTTCTGGACTTTCTCTTATCCTCCTGTCTGACTGACTTTGTCTGTTCCCTTCTCTAAACTTACCTTTTTGGGTTTTTGAGAAGAACCACTGAAACAGGCCTCTGTTGAAGGACAAATCTACTGTATCTTGATCTGATTGCTTTAATTCATGCCATTAGGAAAAGTTCCTGCCAGTCCTATGGCCCTGGGAAGCAACTTACAGACCTCTGCAATGAGTCTGAGCCTATGCCAGCTTCTTCCTGAGAATCTGAGAATTTTGCTATGTTGCCAATGCTGACTTTAAATTTGGACTTTGTTGTTTTTCCTGGTAAATAAATATAGCTTAGGCCAGATTTTCTGTGACTGTATGCATAATGCATCAGTGTTATGGAAACTGTTTGAACAGAGACTGACTGAC